GTTATTGACCTTAAAATAGTTCCGTCGCTATCACAGCTGTTAGCTATCTCACAAATCATAACCGGTGCAGCCTGGTTGGGAATAAATTAAAAAAGAGAATGTAAAATTTCGATATGGTTTGATAAGGTAATTGTGCCAGATTCTTTAGCAAATAGTACTCACCTCTTCAACCATGCTTATAATTGCTCCAAGTTGAGGCGTGGGAGTAGGAGCTTGTGGTCCACCCCCAGTCCTTAAAAAATTTCCCCTTTCAACACTGCGAGCTTTACGTGCGACAGCTTTCAAATTGTCCCACGCTTTCCTTAAACTTACTGTCTCACGCTAATTTGTTATTAAATGATATCCGCAATTTAATAGCTACATTCATATATGCACATAGATAGCAATTATTAATTATACCTTGTAAACATTAGAATGACTATTAAATTCCTTTGTTATCGAGTCCCAAGCCTCCCTTTTTTTAGCAACCGATTTGCGGTCAGTTTGTTTCGCCTCCACTATACAAAACTTTTTCACTAGCTGCGCCAATATAGCCTTTTCATCCGCAGTAAAATTAGAAGCACGTTTTCGCGGTAGATAAAAATCTTCCTAAGTTAATTGAAATAAATTTCCACTTTATTACGCTCGTTTTTCGCATATGAATATAATTACCATGATGTCCTTGTAGATAAATGTGGTACTTCTCGTGTGATTTCAATGTATGTATTTTTACCACACAATTTTATTAACAAAAAATAATTTTATTTGCATACATATAATTGAATATTCAACTTCAAATATTGTCATTTTGAAGCAAATGATGCCATGGAAAAAAGGGAAAAATTTGATGGATACTTAAGAATGTCATTAGCTAAGGATCCCTTAACTTTTGACTCTGGGATGTATCGTTCATTAACAGATTTAATAATAATTAGTTAAGTGCCCGTAAGAGCTAAGTTAATGATTGATTCTGAGCGCGGCTGATAGAAATGTAAAAGTAAGGCCCCTATTATGAGTTGCATTCGACTGTGTTCGAAAGTGCTGATCGAACGAATTTTCATATGGTATTATGACGCTCATTCGATGAAGAATAGCGCTATTGGGAATTTCGCTCGGTTAGGTTGCTTACAATAGTATATTTTTCACCGCTGAGAAGTTTTGTTTACAAATCGAGCAAACTAAATAGCGTGCTTATACATAAGCATGTAAATTTGTGCAAATTAAAATGAAATAAAAACGACATCGAGTTTATAAAAACGTGGTAAACATGTGTACAACGGAGTTCTGGTTCTACGATTCATCAGAAGATAAGACCTTGGTAAACAGGCCAGGAGTAGAAAATGTTTAAGAGGGTTTAAGTGTAGTCTTTCGAATATATTTTGACATAAAATATATTTATATTGAACAATTTTTATTGAGCTTGAGGCCGTTTTTAATGAAAAACTTATTGTGGAAAAGCAACAATAATTTGAAAAAATGGTAGAAGTGATAGCTATTTCGGAAATCACCACACGTCCTCATCAGACTTCTTTCAGTAGGATTCGGACCGACGATCCCTATGACTCAGCCAGTTGCCTACGCACTGTGCTAAGTTCGCCTTGTAAATTATCGTTGCTTTTTCCCACATTCAGCGCACATTCACACACAAGCAGTTGGAACTCGACAAGAACCAAATAAACATTAGCATCAAATAGTAGCAGCTTTTCTAGTAATAAACATAAAGTGATAAATTTCAGGGAATAGCCGCTTTCATTTCCGGTGAAATTTGGTTTTTTTTTTATGCTTGCCGTTGCTTTTAAAATTTTGTTCACTATTTAGAGGCTTTCGATTGTTCACTATTTAGAGTAGAGTGTAAATATTTCGGTGTTCACTATAAGGAGGTGTTCACTGTAGCGGACGTTCGCTATATAGAGACACGACTGTATTGTCCCTGTGCTTTATATGTGATACCTTCTATAGTTTTAAATGATGAACACACATTTTTTAAATTTTAATTGGGAATAATGTTTTTTTTTAATTGCTCCAATTCCATCTTGGATTTTTCTAGTGTTATTTTGATATGCTCTTCTTCCAATAGTGCCGTTCTTTTTTTGGTTTTTTCGACCTCTAACTGTAAAAAAAAACGTTTACATGCATAGATATTTGTGTTCATATGGGTTAATAGTGTTAACAGTTGTTTACCTGAGTTTTCAAAACATCAATTTTCATTTTTTCTTTTCTTTCTAGGTATTTGATACGCAACACAGCCTCCCGACGAATGTAGTAATTTGTCCTTCGCGCTTGATTACTACTTCTTGCTTTCCCAGACTGACTTTTACAGTGGTTTTCTATAATATAATTAAATAAACTCAGTAAAAAGTTGTAAAATAGTTGACTGCAACATCATTTTTGGGGGCGGAATTATTCTAAATCAGGCTGAAAACCTACACCCATTTAGTAAAAGAATGTAAAAGGCCCTTGCAAAACTTCTTTGGGTACATATAGTAAAATTTCAGGAGGAACATTTTTGTAGAATTTTTTAACTAAACTTTCAAGAAAGCGCAATTTTGATATCGTTTTGTGCAAAAATTATAAAAAATTTGCAAAGTTTCAGTTAAATTTTAAACTTTTTATTCAGATTTTTTAGATTTTTTTGAGTATGCATTAAATTCTAATACAACGGATTGCACGTTTGAAGTTGCTAAAAAATCGCGCTGATATTTGGCCATTTTATTTCACATATTTAAAAATCAAAACGATTTTTTAGCAACTTTAAGGTGCCTTTTGTTGCACTAGAATTCAATGGCCTATAAAACTGCATACTCAAAAAAATTCTAAAAAATCTGAATAAAAAGTTTAAAATTTACATGGAGTTTTGCAGATTTTTCATAATTTTTGTACAAAGTTTGAAATGTGGATTTATATGATGTTTGTTTTATAATGAGCTAGGCTTTTATGAAAAAATAATAAACATTAAATAAACAAAAGAAAAATAGCCAAAGTGAGCAAAACGTTGCTGGTTTAATTAGCTCATCCTAATTGTATGTAAATTCAAGATTAAGGGTTTTCGCAACAAGTAATTTTTAGCACAAAAAAACCGACTGCAACTCTCATATAAAAAAAAAAATATATATATATATCTCATGATCCACTGATCGGATCTTAACCAGATTAGTATGGGACCACCTCTGAGACACTACCTTTGCGATGCAAAAAGAATTATCGAAATCGGTTATGCGGTAACATACATAAAAAAAAAAAAATATTCCGACGAACTGATAACCTCCTCCTTTTTTGGAAGTCCGTTAAAAATTAGGAAAAGTCCTTATCGCAGGTGTATATCGTTTTTTTAGAGGAATTGACTGTATTTTCATCAAAAAAATTACTAAAACTAGGTAAGAAACAAATATACAGTCGTGTCTGGATATAGTGACCTAATTTTTGCATGGCCCGTTCACAGCATCTAGGTTGTTCACTATATTAAGGTTGACTTATTTTGTTCAAAAACTTGTTGTATTTGCTCAAAATTCATGGTTATGTATGTAAGTGCAACAGATCTTTGGAATAAATGTATACTTAGGAAAATATAAATGGACATATGAATGTTTATTGAAAGAATTCGCGAATAGATGTTTGCTTCATGCATAAGGAATTGACTTTTTAGAATTTTTTAACTAAATTTCCAAGAAAGCGCAATTTTGATACCTTTTTTTTAATTTGACTATATGTGCCCAAACTATAAATTTCGTCCAGAAATAAATTTTAACCCTATTTTAATCTTATCTTAAAAACATTGAGGCGATTGAAAACTTCATATGCCCATAAAAAAATATTGGACTAAGAATGAAAAAAGATTTGGAGGTTTTTCTATATGGATAAAGATCTCTTATCGTGAGTCAAAATCATTCCGTCTCCAGACAATGACCCTGAAATTGTTGCACAGTGTAAATTGCAAAAAACTACCATATCTAACAAACATAGCTTAAAATACGGTCGTACAAATCCACTGACGCTCACTGTACTTATAAGTGCACTGGATTAAAATAGGAATTCTATGTATTACCTGTATCAATTTCTACGATAACGTCTTCACATTGGAAACTGCTGCTTGCTGTTTCTGTTTCTTCCATATTTTCTTCCGTGCTTGGAACTTCTAAATAAAAGTGCATTTGTAAATACATTCATCATTCAGCAAACGATATGGTGAAAAAATATTAAAATAGCCTATTTAAGTATTAAGCCGTTTTTACAGTGGGCGTTAACTCTTGTTCTGCTGTTAACTCTGGTCTTTTATATTGAATCAACATTCAACTGATGAATGATAGTTAACTCTCCACTGTAAAAACGATCCTTAAAGACATACGAATGGTGTCGATGAAGGCAGATGTCATTGTGTTGCTGGACTCATTCTGCGTTATTGACCTTAAAATAGTTCCGTCGCTATCACAGCTGTTAGCTATTAGAGCTCTTGATATTCGATTAATCGAATATTCGAATTATTCGAATATGATGCTATTCGAATAGTGAAATTCGATTAGCAGTATTCGAATAATCGCCACTGTCGATTATTCGAATAACCTGCTCGTAGTCAATTATTCGAATAATAACTGGTGCTCGATTATTCGAATGTTGAAATGTGTGTATGAATGTATGTATGAATGTATGTATAAATATGTATGTACACATTTAAATAAATTGAAATTTATGAATATAAGTTTTTTTGAGGAAATATTGTAATTATTCAGCAACAATATAAATGAACAGGTTATAAAATCACATTGCATTTTAGCTTCTAAGAGGACTAATTAAGTTATTAAAATGTCTGTGAAGAAACGCTTATTATTATACAGGAGTGTTAGAAGGCTAATATTTTGCGGTGACAAACAACTTCTACATGGCATGAAAATATTCCCAGCAATTGAAAAAGTTCGTTCAGACTCTGCCGATGTAGCTGGTATGCACAAATATCGGACATTTTTCCACCATGTTAGGGGATGAATGTTGTGCCCGATCTGAAGTTCAGCCAAATAAGACTCGATTTGTGACATAACATTATTTGTTGGGATTTCACCATCAAACAAAAAATCCATGTCGGTATGTACTACGCTGTCGGTTTCTTGGTTCATGACATTGCTTACTTGAAGTTGGTTTCTGATAAAGTCATAAACCTTGTGTTTTGTTTGCGAATCTTTATCATTATGGTTCTTATATCTGGGGCTAGAAATGAGGAAATGATTGGAGCTGAAACTTCTTCTATAACACAATCCATATTGAACCTTTGAAAAAGCGAATTACGGGCAGTTTCTTTGAATATATATTGAATCATCTTCCGACGATGCGGCCATGTGGTTTTTAACAAGACGGTGTAATAAAGGTCGCACTAAAGACAATGTCACAGTTTTGCCCCCGCATAGCACTGCAGTCGCTTTATCAAAAGGTTTCAAAATGTCAACTAAGTTCTACATTTCACTCCACTCCTTCTCTTGCATTTCTAGCCTCATCGCATCGCACGTTTTTGTAACGGTTCGATCTGATAAAACTAGGCAGATTGCATTTCGATTCAAAAGCAGCCTCTCACACATGTAATATTTGGAGTTCCAACGTGTGTCGCAGCATTGTATGAGTCGATTTTCCTTTATCCCCAACTGTACTTGGCGGTTTGCAAGTGCAGCTCTGGCAATATTTGAGCGATGAAATTATGCTGTTAAGTTTCGTCCTTTTTTGCAAATTTTATCGTAATCAGGTACAGCTGCTAAGGCGTCTTTTATCACAAGCTGCAAAAGGTGAGCGCTGCACTTGATGCTGTCCCGTATATTAAAAAGTTGTTATGCTGCTGCATTCATCACTGATGCACTGTCGTGCGTTATCGCTTGCGTTTGCAATGTTTTCTGCATTTGGTCGGTCTATAAATACAAATTATTTAAACAATTGAAATGTTTTAACATCAAAACACAAATTATGCATGTATGTATGAGTGTACGACTTTATCTGATATATCTACTTACAAGGTAGTTATTTTAATAGACTTACCTTCTAGTTGCTCGTTACAAAGTGTATCTTTGCACAATTCACTGTTTTTGTCAATATACTGGGCTTCGACTGATAAATAACAATCTTGAGTTCTTCATGTCCATTCGTCGACTGAAATTGATGCGCTTTCTACCTCCGTCAAATCGTCATTATAAAGCAATTGTAAGCGTGAGAGTATACTTTGTTGAGAGGCAACTTTGTATCCTGGTTCCACTAACTTCATAAAGTCGCGTCAGCCTTCAGAGGAGACGAAAGAAATTGGTAACATGTTACTTGCGATTAGGCGTGCCACTCCACGAGATATCAATTCTTGACGTTCAAATGTGCAGTCATGAACGTCGTCGTGCTTTTTTCTCTTACGGCCACCCAAGGTGCTTTCAAGTGAGTGCTTAGCGAGGAAGTGGAGTGGTGGAAACTAAGGATTGCTCTACAAATGAAGCGGGTAACTTGCTTACCATCACTGCATTTCGTAAAAAAAACCCCACTCCCAACTTCGTTTTTTTGCACTCATGTTCACAAAAAACAAAAAATTTATTAATTGTATTTTTTTGTTTGACAAATAACGCTTATTGCAACGATCGAATATTCGATTTTAAGAAGGTATTCGAATAATCGTAGCTTTGCGACTATTCGAATAATCGAAGGGAATCAACTATTCGAATAGTAACATTCGATTAGCAATCGTACAAAAAATTGAAGATCGACCGTTCGAACATTCGAATAATCGAATTATTCGAATCATTTTAAGAGCCCTAGTAATTATGTTATAGTTTTTTAAATTTTTTTCGATACACGATGGGCTTTTTCTGATTTTAATTTGTTGTTCAAAAATCGTATCCTGAAGTACGTCCTGCCCAAAAAAAATCTTTAAAGAATTTTTACATCAAAATTTGTAATGTTTTTACTGCGCTCAAGCAAATTTTGCAGAAGCCCGGAAGACTCAATTACAGACGAACTAATTTTGGTTTCCCCATAATTATTGTATTTTTTTTAGTAAGATGAGCTGCATATATAGAAAAAATATTTTTAACATTTGGATTGTAATGTTAACCTTATGGGGAAACCAAAATTAGTTCGTCTGTAATTGAGTCTCCCGGGCTCCTGCAAAATTTGCTTGAGCGCAGTAAAAACGTTACAAATTTAGATGTAAAAATTCTTTAAAGATTTTTTTTTGGGCAGGACGTACTTCAGGATACGATATTTGAACAACAAATTAAAATCAGAAAACGCCCATTGTGTATCGAAAAAAATTTAAAAAACTATAACATAATTACATACACTTTAACTGAATTGTTTTTATTTGAAGCTGGCATAAAACGTAAGTATGCACGTACGTATGTACATACATATCTTAATATATAAAAATCCCGTGTCACTGTGTTCGTTTACGCTAATCTCCGAAACCGCTTTACCGATTTCAATGAAATTTTTTGGGTGTGTATTGTTGTTTCCAACTTAAAAGATAGATAGTTGTGAACCCGAGAAAAAATATTTTTTTTTCATCGAAATTTTTTCTATGCTTCTCGCATCGTGCTTATCTAATATATAAAAGTCTCGTGTCTCGGTGTTAGTGGTAGAACTTCTCCTAAACGGCTCGACCGATCTTTATGAAATTTCTTGCGTGGCACCTCCCATACATATCTCTGGATATGTTCATGGAAGAATA